ACTAACCACACAAAAAAAAAGAGTTGCACAACCTGACGTCGCACTAACAGCAGAATATGTGACCCATTTGAAGATCGATCCATGGGCTCTGATACCAATATAAAGCTCGCTACCCACTGGTCCAAACGAAGGTTATATTTGAGGCGCAGCGGAGGCACTCAACCCTTACGTGTAAGCCCCGCAGGCGTTACATGGTGAGTGGGCAGAGAGATTATCCTGACCCTCAGCTCCGATCCGAGGCCAGGGCTTTGATTTGAGGCCTTGGAATGGACAGTGTGACGTGACCTAGGGCATGCGAGGAACAAGGGGTGCTTCTGTTCGGCGCCTGCGGTGAGGCGAGACACATGGGGTGTTGTGCCACTCGGTGAACCCTCCCACCACAAAAACGGAGGGGCTGAGTCCCCGACCCTTCAGCGCATGCGAGAATGCGACGCAAGGCCTGGAGTGCTCGTAGTGTCAGAAAGTAGGAATGAAGAATGACTAGAATGACAGCAGTACAGAGTTTGTATAGCAAAACATAATTGGGATGTACCCCATAAGGAGTGCCCCACTACAGCCTAGAGCATATAAATGCATAGTTCTGACACACCCCCATAGGCAAAGTGGGGGACAAGCAAGAGAACGAAGCAAGGTCAAGCTCAGGGTGGATCACAACGTCACCACGCAGTCCGAGCACAAGCAAATGGCCACAAGGCCAGTTCACATGCAGAGGTATATGAAGGAGAACAAGCAGTAAAGTGATCACAACCTAGCAAGTGTAAGCATGCAGGTATAAGTATATAGATCACAGTACAAGTAAAGTCAAGAAGTAAGCAAGTGAGGCCAAGTAGGCACAAGGCCTAGAACAGTACAGAAACGCTGATGATCACAAGGCTGAAGTGCCTTGGTGAAGATATCAGCAGTGTTGGCCCGAGAGGCCACGTAAGCAAGACGAAGCTGACCACGCTGCTGCAACTCTCGAGCAAGGAAGTAGCGCAGAGCGATGTGCTTCGTTCTGTGCTCCAGTCTGTGCTCCTGACACAAGGCAATCATGGCCTTGTTGTCGACGTACAGAACTGGAGGAGAACGAGGCGGCTCGCCCAAGTCGGTCAGCAGGTAGGTGAGCCAGCGTAACTCCTGTGCGGCCATGGCCCCTACGTAGATCTCAGCCTCACAACTGGAACTGAGAACAGAAGACGAGCGGGTAGACCGCCAAGAAACAGAGCCGGAGCCAAAACTGAAGGAGTAACCCTGTGACGACCGTTGCGTAGCCAAGTCGTCAACCCAAGAAGCGTCTGCGTGACCAGTGCGGACAACTCGAGCCCGTCCTCCAAGCACGAGCCCCATGCCCGATGTACTGCACAAGTAGCGCATCACCCTCTTAGCGGCCTCCCAGTGCTCTGGTCGGTGTCTCCCGAGCGCAACGTAGCGAGCCAGGATGCTAAGAGGGTAAGCAAGGTCAGGTCGAGTGCAGGTCATCAGGTACATGAGGCAGCCCACAAGCTCTGGAGACAGGCCACTCGGCTCTACGGACTCATACGAAGGCAGAGCTGAGAGCGAGTGACCGGTAGGCAGAGGAGTGGACTGTGGCGAGAAGTACGTGAAGCGGAAGCGCTGAAGGACCTGCTGCACCATGTGTGACTGAGTCAGGGTAATGGTGCGCTGTGCTCTGTCCCGGGTGATCTGAAAGCCAAGATAGCTGCGCAGCTCACCCAGGTCTGTGCACGTGTGTCTCTTCTGCAGCTCCGACTTCACGTGGGCGAGTCCCTCAGTGTCAGCAGTGGCGAAGACCAAGTCGTCGACGTACACGAGGATGTACTGGGTACCTGCAGGAAACGACCCAGTGAAGCCAGGTGGGCGGCGCAGCCAGATCTCCTCGTGCAGGCTGCCCTGTAGGAAGGCTGTGCTGAAGTCAAGAGAGTGAAGCTCGTAGTCACGCTGTGCGGCAACGTGCAGCAGCACCCGAAGAGTGGTCATCTTCGGGGTAGGGGAGAAGGTCTGGAAGAAGTCAACTCCCTGTCACTGACTGAAGCCTCGAGCAACGTAACGCTCCTTGAAGACAGGCGGAGAACCCCGCGGCCGCTTCACCCTGAAAATCCACATGCCACTGACGATGTTCGCCCCAGGTGGGGGAACCTCGTCGACGTAGGTGCCTGTGGACTTCCAGGATGCCATCTCTGCGTCCATGGCTGTCTGCCACTGAGAGGAGTAGGGACCCTCAATCGCCTCTGCGTAAGAGCGCGGGGTCGGGATGTCTGGTGCATCCGGGTCTCCCTCAGGTGCAATCAGCATGGACACGAGATGAGGTAAAGCAGCTGCAAAATACTGAAAGTCCTCCTGCCTGTCCTCAAGGACGTCCGTGCCAAGAGCACACTCACCCCTGACGGACGGAGGACAGACAGACTCAGACTCAGCAACAAGACTAGGGGCGTAGTCTAGACGACAGGCGGCAGCAAAGTCGACAAGCTCAGCAACAAGGGCAGACGCAGCAGTGGACTCAAACGAAGGGTTAGTGACAGCAGTAGCTAGGACTGGCAGCACGAGCAAGGTTTGACGGCGGGTCAGGGACGTCAGGAAGGGAGGACGCAGGAGGAGACGGCAGAGACACGCAGTGGAACAGAGGAAGGACGAAGTGCCATCTGGTGCGTGCCGGGGACAGGAGGAGGACGCTGACGCAGAACACGACGACCAGTGCGAACAGCGCGAATAGGCGACGCAGGACGAGACTCAGGCTCACGACGCTCCGCAAGACCTCCGGTCGGCCCAGTATAAGGAGAAGGACCAGGCAGTGGGGAGGCTGGCTGTAACTGCGACTGGTCAGGTGGTGGACACAGTAAGGGAGGAGTAGGACCAGTAGAAGGCGGGAGACCAAGAAACTGCTGAAAGAGCGGAACGAAGTACGGCCTCGGCCGTGCAGCGCCTCCAGAACCAGCAGAGACAGCACCAGTACCCCCAACTTCAGGGTCTCCAGCGCCAAATCCCGCGGCACCACCAGCTCCAGCATCTCCAGCAGCTCCAGCTCCAGCAGCGCCTCCGGCAGCAACCGCTCCAGCGCCCCCAGCTCCAACTTCTGCAGCACCACCAGCTCCAGCAGCTCCTGTACCTCCAGTACGAGCACCTCCGGGACCAGCGGCTCCAGCACCTCCAGCAGCTCCAGCACCAGCAGGACCTCCAGCAGCTCCAGCTCCAGCAGTACCTCCAGCTCCAGCAGCTCCAGTACCTCCAGTACGAGCACCTCCGGGACCACCGGCTCCAGCACCTCTAGCAGCTCCAGCACTAGCATTACCTCCAGCAGCTCCAGCTCCAGCAGCACGGCTCCAGCGCCGAGCAAAACACACGCGCAGCTGCGGTGGAGAGAGAGGCTCCCGCCGTGACAAGACACCCGTAGGACCTCCAGAAGACAAGTTCCGCCAGGCTCAACACGCTCAGAAGCAGCACCCGCAGGCGCAGCACCCCCAGACGCAACACCGCCAGGCTCAGTAACCGGAGGAGACTCAGTAGTCAGTGTATACAGGTTCGACCCAGGCCGACGGGTGAACGTGGACAGGTGGCGGCCCGTCCGAGTACACGTACAGTGGGTCACACGCTGACCTCCAGGAGTGAACTGGTCAACCCACACGTCCTGGAGGTCAGCTCCACTCACCAAGTTCGTAGAGAACGAGGGGAGGTGAAGACCCGACAGTGAGCCAGACGGGGCCGCCGGACACGGCAGAACCGTAGAGGAGTGTGCAAGGACTGGGCCCCCAGAGGGGTCCGCCAGGGAGACTGCAACCGGCCGACTGAGCGGCGTGAGTGTGGTGCTGTCGCGAAAGAAGGAGCGGGAAGCACCTGAGTCAAGCGTGAAGGTGTGCAAGGCCTCAGCAGGCGCAGTACCTGAGAGAGCAGACTCACTAGGACCTGGAGCAGCAGACTCACTAGCACCTAGAGCAGCAGCCTCAATGCCCAGGTCGAGCGGAACACACAGGTAACAGTCACCCTCAGCACTAATAGTCACAGCATACATGGCAGCAAGGATAGCATCGAAATCAAGATCAAAGATAGCAACACCAACCTTAAGCAGATCAGCCCAGCGAGGGAGCTCAACGGCGTCAGGACACTGTGCGCGCCAGGCATCAGACAGGCGAGCGAAACAGCGCTGCGTCGTGTGTGGCAGCTCGCACGTCTCCCCACGGCGCTCGTCGGTGTGGAGAACGTAAGCGCAGGGACCATCACCTCCAGACCTCTTACGCCCAGCGTACCACTCACGAAGTTGCTGGAGCGACGGGGCCTCACGGGAACGCGGCTGCTGCTGTCGCTGGCTACCGCCAAAGCCTCCACGCTGCGCGGCTCCACCCCGACCAGCACCACCACCGCCGCCTGTTACAATACGATCTGAACTGGTAACCGGGTTTAACTAGGGCCTAGGCTTAGAAGCCTAGGCCAAGCGGGTATCGAGGGTGGCGAGAGCAAGGGTCGAGAGAGTTGACCAAACAAGTTAGCTTCACTAAAAGCAAAGCATACAAGATATAGTCGAGAAACACAAACAAGAGGTGCACCACCCAATAGCAAGGAAGCATAACTACACTAAAGCTAAAGCTACAGGCAGTTATAAACATATATATATATATATATATATCGCGACACACCCCCTTAACTGCCTGCAGCACATAACTAGAGAAAGTCACACCCCCGGAACCTGGGCAAGAGGTAGGAGAAGCAGAGGAAACAGCAACACAGATCAGCCATGATAATTGCAACAACGGCAGGTGCAGGACCCGAGAGGTGGGCGTGAGAGCAAGCGCCGTGGGTGCAACGAGCAGCTGGACAGCGCGGCTCAGCACCTCCGGGGGCGTGCCTGCTACAGGCAGCAGGTGCAGTGATGGCAGATAGGGCCACAGTGACCTTAGCCACGGCAGATGCAACAGCGACAGGTGCAGGACCCGGCAGGTGGGCGTGAGAGCACGCGCTGTGGCTGCAACGAGCAGCTGGACAGCACCGCTCAGCACCTCCGGGGGCGTGCCTGCTACAGGCAACGGCTGCAAATGCCCGACTTACTTCTTCCACCCCCTTACCCGCCCACTCAACCCCTCTGGTGCTGGCGGCTGGCGCTGGTGCTGGTTCCTGGTGCTGGCGCTGGTGCTGGTGCTGGTTCCTGGTGCTGGCGGCTGGTGCTGGTGCTGGTTCCTGGTGCTGGCGGCAGGTGCTGGTGCTGGTTCCTGGTGCTGGCGCTGGTGCTGGTGCTGGTTCCTGGTGCTGGCGGCTGGTGCTGGTTCCTGGTGCTGGCGGCTGGCGCTGGTGCTGGTTCCTGGTGCTGGCGCTGGTGCTGGTGCTGGTTCCTGGTGCTGGCGCTGGTGCTGGTGCCTGGTGCTCGCTCTTGACAGCCGCCCACCACCCCTTTCCCCCACTCCTTCCCCCCCCTCACATGAGCCGCCAACCCCTCCACGCCGCTCCCGCCATTCCCGCCGCCGCCGCCCCCACTGTCCGCCACACCCACCACCGCGCAACACGGCATAGGCAGGCGCGGTAGAGGGGGAAGGCGCGACGAGGGAGGACGGGGAGGGGCAGGGACAGCGCGGGTATGGGAGGAAACTGCAGTTGCTGACGCGGCAGATGCAGGCGGGGCAGGGACGGGTCGTGCAGGGCGGGGTGCAAGCTGGCTGGCGCGTCGGTTGGCGAGCTGGCTGGCGCGTCGGTTGGGCCGCCACCCCTTTCCCCATTCCCTCCCCCCCCCCCCCCCCACCGCGACCGTCGCTGCAACCGCGCAGGGCAGGGACGGGTGGGGAAGAGGTGGCGGGGTGGGGAGCTGACGACGGGCTTGCTCGCGGGCTCGCGGGTCCGCTGGTTCACTTGCTAGTGGGTCTGCGGGTCTGCTGGTTCGTTTACTGGCGGGCTTGCGGGTCGTGGACGATCTGTAGCATGCAGTGGCGGAGCAGCAGTTTCTCCTGCCAATCCCGCCACGCCCGCCATTCCCGCCACTCCCGCCACGCCCGCCATTCCCGCCACTCCAGCCACGCCCGCCATTCCCGCCACTCCCTTCACAGCAGCTGCGAAGTCGACGGGAGGGCAGGCGGGGACGGAACGGGACGGGACGGGACGGAACGCGGGCTGGCGCTGGTGCTCAAGTGACGGTCGCCACCCTTTTCCCCCTCTCCTCTCCCCCCCCCACTGCGACCGTCGACGTTTCCGCGACAGTGAGCCGCAACGAGGCAGCGTGACGGGGAAGGGCGACGGGGAAGGCAGCGGCGGTTCGAGGGGCCGACGGGGGGCAAGAGCAGCGGCGCGAAACAGCGGGTCGACGAACGCCGTCACTCCCGCCGCGACCGTCGCGTCTGTCACGACTACCGTGATGGATTTTGCTACGGGCGAGCGATGGGGAAGGACGGGACGCGCCATCACGATAACTAACGGTGGGCCCTTTAAAAAATAGGTCGGGAACAACCTAGCTCAATACCATGTTACAATACGATATGAACTGGTAACCGGGTTTAACTAGGGCCTAGGCTTAGAAGCCTAGGCCAAGTGGGTATCGAGGGTGGCGAGAGCAAGGGTCGAGAGAGTTGACCAAACAAGTTAGCTTCACTAAAAGCAAAGCATACAAGATATAGTCGAGAAACACTGCCACCCCCACCGCCACCCCCACTACCGCTGCCTCCACCACCTCCACCGCCGCCACCGACGCCTCCACTCCTGCCACCACCCCCACCTCCACCCCCACCCCCTCCGCCTCCTCCACCGCCACCACCGCCGCCCCCGCCGTCCCCTCCACCACCCTTGCCCCCCTTGCCCTTGCCGCTGCGGCGCCTCCCACTAGGAGCAGACGCAGCCCCGACCTCCTTGGTGCCAACGAGGTCGACAGCAGCAGCAGAAGCAACAGAGGGCAAAAGGGGAACGGGGGAACACCCCTCAAAGAAAGGGGCGCGAGGGTCGCCGCGAGAAGCTCCTACAGCGACTATGCTAGTCTCAGCTGCAGTGAGGCGCTCCTCGAGCAGGTCGACAGTGAGCTCGGTGGGGCAAAGGGAGAGAAAGTGGTCCCTGACTGAGCGAAGAGAGTCAGGGAGATGGGTGACGAGGTAGAAGAGGGTGATGTACATGGGGGGGGGTTCTTGGCGCGAAACTCGGAGGGAAGCGCAGCGCGGTAGCGGGTGGCACTAGTGCGGAGGTGAGTGATGAGGTCAGCGACTGTGGCAAAGGCGGCCAGGTCAGGGAACAAGTATGGCAGCATGAGGCGGCTGAGGGCAGCAGTGGCAGGGGAGGAGTAGCGCGCAACGACAGCGTCATACAGAGACTTAGCAGTCTTGTACCGCCCAAAGTGCGCGCGCTCAGCAGACGGCAGGTGACTACGAACAGCAAGGCGAGCAACAGCGTCACGAGTAGTCCACTGCGAGCGAACCGTACTGTCAGCAGTGGCAGCAAGTGCAATAGAGGCGCCGGACGTGTGATCGAAAAGCAAGACTCCGTCCCTAGAGTCGCACTGAAGATAGAGTTGCAGGTCATCTACCCAAACGTCGAAATCTACCGCACGACCCTCAGCATCGAAGGTAAGAACAGTAGGGCTAGCCATGGCGGCAGTAGCAACAGGAGTAGCAGGAACAGGAGGAGGAGCGCGGGGAGGGCAGCGCAGCGCAGTAGGGCAGGGCAGCGCGGTCCAGCAGAGCGGCGCGGCTCGGCGCTTAGCAGGGCGGGCGCTTAGCAGGGCGGGCGCTTACCAGGGGCAGGGCAGGGCCGCGACGGGGCGGTTAGGTCAGGGCCGCAACGGGGCGGCTGTAGGGAAGGGCCGCGACGAGGCGGCGGCAGAGCAGGGCCGCGACGAGGCGGCAGCAGGGCAGGGCCGCGACAAGGCGGCTGCAGGGCAGGGCCGCGACGGGGCGGCGGTAGAGCAGGGCCGCGACGAGCGGCTGAGGGCAGGGCCGCGACGAGTGGCGGCAGAGCAGGGCCGCGACGGGCGGTGAGGACAGGGCCGCAACGGGGGGCGCCAGGGCAGGGCCGCGATGGGCGGCTAGGTCAGGCCGCGACGGGCGGCTAGGTCAGGCCGCGACGGGCGGCGACAGGGCAGGGCCGCGACGGGCGGCTAGGTCAGGGCCGCGACGGGCCGTTAGGGCAGGGCCGCGACGGGCCGGGAGGGCAGGGCCGGGAGGGCAGGGCCGGGAGGGCAGGGCCGCTACGGGCGGCAGTAGGGCAGGGCGCGCGACGGCGCAGGTGAGGCAGGCGCGAGGCGCGCTTCAGGCAGGGCAGGATAAAACTATCGTGGTGGGCCCTAAAAAAAAAACGTTCCCACTAGGGAACCTACTCTGAAACCATGTCAAAAAGTAGGAATGAAGAATGACTAGAATGACAGCAGTACAGAGTTTGTATAGCAAAACCTAATTGGGTTGTACCCCATAAGGAGTGCTCCACTACAGCCTAGAGCATATAAATGCATAGTTTTGACACGTAGGCTAGGCACCCCTCTCTCTGACGCAACACAGCCTGCTCCAAGTTCAGAGCAGCGAGCATTTACATTCGCAGGGTTTGGGAAATTTTTGGGGTTTGTAACTCTTACCAGTGCAGTTGATATATATTATCATTTGTCAACGAAAAGAATGTGCGGAAGTCAATATCAGGAATGTGATACAACTGCTGAGCAAATGATGAAGCCTAGCAAAGATATTTAAAAGACCTAGCTAGGCGGGGGCCTTGGGATAGCGAGGCTGGGTGCTGGTTCGGGGTTGTCAAGCCCGAAGGCAACACGGCTGACGATCGGGAGGCGAGGTTGCCGGGCCGAGTCTGGTCTTACAAAAGTTGGCATTGTATACATATAGTGTTCTCTAGTAAGGAATTGGGGAGATTCCTTACATTATGAGTTGGAGAGAAATGATTGGGTTTAAGTCAATATCGAAGAGTGATTACAGTTACTCACAATGAAGCGAGACAAAGATATGACGTAGCTTCTAGCTAGGCAGGGACCTCAGAAGGCAAGGTGGGTGCTGGTATAGTTTTGCCAAGACCGAAGGCGACGCAGGTCAGCTTCGGGGGGCGAGTCATTGGACCGAGCCTGTTCTTCCAAAATGTTGGTGTTGTACGCGGCATAGCATAAACTCAGTAAGGAATACAATACTGCTTACACTCCCCCCTTCTCTCCCCCCTCCCCCCCCCCCCCCTCCTCTCCAATGTAAGAAAGGTGGTCTGTTCAACATCAGTAGAAGAGATAATCCTGTAATATCGAATGTCCCTAAAGCGAGTCAGGTGTGACTCACGCGTCGTCCTCGCTAGTCCGGTGAAGCAACCAAAGTAACAAGTCGACGCGTTGTCTGGACATTGTTAGTCGTACATGATGATCCAAAACCTTCTAGGGCTCATGTGTTGACGCTGGCGGGCGATATCGACAAGGGTGCGTCAAACGACCGCATCAAAATGGCGTGGACCGCATCGTGGATGCGAGAGTCATCAAGCAACAGTCATTTTGCCAAAACATGCGTCAACATCTTGATGGTGCAGATTGGTCCTACGAACATTGGACATAGCTTTGCCGGTTGGGGCAACCAGAGGCTCTTTGCGTCTAGAATTGAAGGTTGTGGTATGAGCAAGCTGGTTGGTGCTTCTCTCGACCTCGCCCTCTCTCATTCCTCTTACCTTCCACATGTGCCCCTCCCCGCGGTACATCAACCCGCCAGAAATGTGATTCGAGATGAAGGATATCACTTGAAGGTGGCAGGTTTTGGATTGAGCTATCTGGTGAAGGTGAACGCGCTCCACGAGATGTACAAGATGGCTGGGGAGCAAGCTAGTTGTGAATAGAGGGGCAAGCTATGAGTGGGTGCGCTAGGAAATCAGGTATTGGATCGTCTCAAAAACTTGGTCAAGGCAAGCTAGTGAATGTTAACACGCTACATGAGGCACCTAGACTCCTTGATGGATCAAGCTGGTGATGGTGAATGCACAGCATGAGATGCACAACATGAGGGGAGATGGGCAGCTATTGTATGTGAATTGGTCAAGGTGAAGAGAAAAGTGAACTATTCTCTCCCCACCTCCCTCCACCTCTCTCCATCTCAAGTGGTGTTCAAGCACCAAGAGTACGACCGCACTGAGAACTTTTTATATGCTCTTCTCTCTCATTCCTCTACTCTGTGCTCTCCTTTCTCCCCCCTCATCACTGCTCCATAGCACCTCCCACAGACCGCTACATGGCCCCAAGGGTGTTCAAGCAACAGGTGCGCTTGTTTACTAGTGCTAGTGTGCCATTCTCACTCTCTCCTTTCCCTCCTCACTCCTTCATCATGCCTCCCCCAGACCGCTACATGGCCCTAGAGGCGTTCAGTCACCAGGCATACGACCACAATGTGGATGCCCACTCCTTCTCATTCATCTTCTAAGAGGTCAGATGATCTCGGATGAGATGAACGGTTGTGATTGGTTGCAAAGTGAGATCCACGGTTGTGATCGACTACGAGGCATGGTGTTTGTGATGTTGTCTCGTAAGCAACTGTGATTTACCAAATGTAACTTGATGTGTTGCTCCCCCTCCCTGCCTATCTCCCCTTCCTATTTCCTTGCTTCCTCCTTCCCTCCTCACTCCACCTTCCTCCCCTTGCCTCCTCGTCCCTCCTATCGCTCCTCCTAATTCCCTTTGCTCTCTCAAACGTTTGAGGGCCTTTCACCCTTTGCCAAGACCATGAAGCAGAGGGGGTTAGCATGGAAGGTAACAATGGAGGGCATGAGACCGCCCTTCAAGTCCAAGGCGTACCCTGAGGGGGTCAAAGTGTGAGTGAGGGAGTTATTTGAGGGTTCTGGGTCCCTAAGGTTTTGAAGGTTCTGGGTTTAAGGGGTT